GAGCTTGAGAAGTTGCAGGAGCATCTGGAAGGCCTCTATATGTAGGATCGATTAACCAGTTTACGCAGCTTGCAATCAGGGCTTCCAAGCTGAGGGGGTGTGTCAGATAGCAGGGTTACTCGACGTTGGCAGCAACCAATCAGCGTAGAGAGGATCAGTGCGCCCCTCAAGAGGGCCACAAGCGCGGACACACGATAGACAGAAGACAATACACACAATCATCAACATCCATCACTTTTGTGCAATATCTCATTATATCTGACACGTTCTATGTATGTTGTTCAATATGGAGTTTCTATAGGTCTTGTACAATTTGGAGGATAGTTGCGTAGTCCAATTTCAGAGTTAGTCTTCCATTGGCGCGGATGCTAAAGAGCAGTGTGATAAAATAGAAAGAGATGTAACAGCGAGCTCTTTTTGGAAAGAAAATATTGGTGTTTAGTGTAGGCGTCTGCATATAGGGATCTATTACAACCACTAATAGATCTATACATCTTGCCTAGTCAATGTTTTGCTCGTGAGTGTGCTGGTGACAGCAGGTGCTAGAGCGGTTCGGTATATGGGGTCGGTATATCGAGTCGGTTTAGGGCGTTCGGTGGAGAGGGTATTTGGTGTAGGCGTCTGTATATAGGGATCTACAAGAGAGAGAATAGATCTATACAGCTATTGCCTGGTCGATGTTTTGCTCGTGCGTGTGCTAGTGAAAGCAGGTGCTAGAGCGGTTCGGTATATGGGGTCGGTATATCGAGTCGGTTTAGGGCGTTCGGTGGTGTAACAGGCTGAGCCTATTACATGCGCTACGCTGTGTGCGTAGCTGTCGTCATGCGATTCCTTCGAGATACATCTATAGGTTTCTGTCATCATCCATCTAATTCTACTTCGGCCCATCTTCGGTCCGCTCCTGTATTTATGTACAGCTAGCATCCTTTTGTAGCTCTTTGTCAAATCCACTCTGTTACAAGGCATCTCTTGATCAGTCATCTGTGTATCGTCATCGATACAGCCGCTGGGGTCTAGCCCCTTACAGGTGGAGAGGGTATTTGGTGTAGGCGTCTGTATATAGGGATCTACAAGAGAGGTAATAGATCTATACATCTAGTGCCTGGTCGGTGTTTTGCTCGTGAGTGTGCTGGTGAAAGCAGGTGCTAGAGCGGTTCGGTATATGGGGTCGGTATATCGAGTTGGTTTAGGGCGTTCGGGTATAGGTAGCATCTAGATATATAGGCCTATTACTTTGCAGCAATAGAGCTATATACCTAAGGAAGAGCCGTTGCTCTGTCGGTTTCGTAGAGGGTGCCTTCGATCGAACATCTAAAATCAGTTGGCGCACGGGCCACTTGCAGAGATTTCTCTCAACTAAGGCCAGGTAACAACTCTGTCAAAGTTGCAGCGGCCAGCGCGCCCGCCACAACGCCTGCACGCAAGAGCAGACGTTGGAAACTGATTCTAGGAAGGCATTTCAATGGAATTGAGATGAAAAAAGGGTAATCCAGGACCTTTTTGTCATCTCGAAAAGTTGGTGTTCGTTGCGCGCGGGGTTATAGGATCTGTCTCTTCTAACCTAACTGTCTGTGACTGCCATGCAATCACTGATCAGTGTTGGTAGGCCTTGTACGATCGTACGGGTGAATAACAACAACGAGGTTCTTCTGGTGACTGGTATTGGTATTGATCTTCTACGAACATAGCTGCTACGAAGGTACACCTAAGCTCTGCGCAAGGTGGGCCGAAGTCGGGCCGAAGTGTCAAGCAGCCGACGTCTCTACCGATACTCACGATCCGACACAACAAGCATAATAACTTAGCAAATTATCACGAGGCAAGGGCTTAGGCATAGAGTGGTGGCGGTACTAGTTAATTATTTGTTAGATGTAGGAGGACCACGCAGATATAAGGAAGAAAGTTGTTGTATTAAGTGATTTAACAGAGAGCGATTATATACATAAGTAGCGAGCTAAGTAAGCACGCACTAGTGGGTTATGTGAGTACATCATTCATAGTGTACTTAGTGCACAAGGTGCTAGGTCTGACATTATTATGCGGCTAAAGTTGATTCCTTTTGCAAAGGAGTGCATGAAAGAGAGGCCTAGTACTGTGATTCAAGAGGATAAAGCACCTGCTTACAGCTATTACGTTTAAAGCCGGGTGTACAGTTAAGAGCACGTAGCACAGTTGCTTTAGTGCGGTAATTCACCTAACTTGAATGCTATTAAGCCTTGCTAGTTTTAGATGAAGAGATTCACAACAAAGAAAGGAGCTCCTAAGAGTAGAGCTCAAGCTATTCGTGCGTAGGAACAGTGCTGGGATGAGCTGCCTCAAGAGAAGATACAGGCCTAGATTGAGCGTATTCTAATCTATATCAAACAGATTATTGACTTAGAGGGAGGAAATGAGTACAAGGAGGGCAGAAATGTACGTAGGACTGATTGAAATCAATTGTATCGGGCCAAATCACCCCTGTACTTGCTCCGTGCGCTGACTAGGGGGGGTGGGAAAAGACTTTTTAAATGCACCTCCGTACAAGCTATCTCGTGCTGAAGGTTATTCGGAGAGCGCCTCGGAATAACCTTCTGCCTATAGACTGTGCGGATGGTCTAAGCGTCGTTCGGACCGAGATATCATCGAGGATTCACCAACTAGGCTCCAGCCCATTACAGCCCTAGCCCTAACCCGAACCACAGAAACAGCCTAGGGAAGGAACGACGCCCTGAAGTTCAACTGTGTTAGTAGCAGACTCCGCAACAATCAATCGATTGACATGATTGATTCCTATATAGGTTAAAGAATTACTTCATTAGGCAGCCTTTAACCTAGATAGGAATCAATCATGCCGATCCGATTGATTGTTGCGGAGTCTGGTTAGTAGTCGAAGATGCAAGATTATTAGCTAGTAACTTACGGGTTGGCAGTCTCCAGGATGGCAGTTATTGGGCTGTCCCAGACTTGCTATCAGTCAGTCTACTCAGTTCAGACTGACTGAACTGACTGAATCTTGGCAGTCAGTTCAGTTAGTCTTCGTTCCGTCCGGATATCAGTTCAGTCAGTCCAGAGACCTCTGGACTGACTGAACTGACTGAATTAGACTAAATTGGACTGAATCTAGCTCTTTGAAGCCGTGTTTTGCAGTCACGATAGCAACTTCTAGTGTTGCTTAGAACACGACTTGTCGCTGCAACTAAGACAGACGCTAGTCTTGAATAGGAAAACGCTTGTCTCGTTTGGGTTAGAGATAATACCCGAGCCAATTAGACTCTGCTAATTACGCTAGGGCCATATGGCAGCCTTGACGCGTCGCGCCTACTCTAGCAAACTAATGCTACAACACTCTAGCCACAAACAATTTAGTGTACTTTATGTCTACTCCTTCGAGCTTAAGCCTCCGCCGCCTTGTCGAACGCGATAAGTGCAGTTCTCCTCTACCGTCGCTATCGAACGCGCCCACTGTTGGGGATACTGCGAGCGAGGCTTAGCCTAACAAGCCCGTGGCTATACATGCAGACTTACCTAACGACGATAACTATTACGTTGGGTTTGATTTTAAGCGCGTACTGTACCTCGAGCGACGCCAAGCAGAGCGTAGTCGCGGCGCAGTAAGGAGCTAGATCTACCGCCACGGCTAGGGCGTATAGCACCGCAAGCACAAGAAGAATTACTAGCTTTGCTAGATCTGCCACAAGCAACAGCGGTAACAGGAGGCCTACTACGAGGCTGATAGCACTACAAACGCCGGTCGACACCTCTTAAGCAACAGGCCTAGGCACTCACTTGGACCTAACGGACCTATACTAATTGCTAGCCGGGAGGGCAACATTATAGGCGCGCTCGCAAAATCACAAGTCTACATAATAAGGTCTAGAGGTGTAGAGGTCTCCTAGGAGGTTGCTAATGAGATAGCGGCAAGCTTTTTATCCTCTTAGTTTCAAGACGCGCTAAAGGACTAGGTAATTGCTAACAACTAGAGCCTACGCGTAATAGAGACGCCGCAGTTTCGAAATATGATCGCGGCCGCAAGTCCCCTAGCGGAAGCTCTCCTTTAGCGTAGCCACTAGACGCTCCGCGATTATATTATTGCTGAGTACAACGCGTACGTACCAGCCGTTGCCGCCTACCTTCGCGAAGCCTAGTCGCTTATACACGTTTCCTTTAACAACTGGACCTTAACTAGCGGACGGTACGCTTTCACCGGCCTCTGCGTACACTACCTTAACGGCGAGGGCAAGCTAGTTGACCACTTGCTCGGGTTACCTAAGCTCCACGGGGCGCACACTGGCAATAATATTGCCTTAGTAGCGGCGACAATACTACAGCTATTTAGTGTTGACGACATAAGCGTTAGATACTTTGTGCTTAACAACGTAAGCAACAACGATACTGCGGTTAAGTCTTTAGCAGAGGAGTTCAACTTTACTGCAAGCGAGCGGCGGCTGCGCTGCTGCTGCCACATCCTTAACCTAGGCGCGCAGTTAGTAATTTGGGGTAAAGATCGTAGCGCGTACGAGAACGACGCCGCTCACCTTAACGACGAGGAAAAGTACATAGATAAGTGGCGCAAGTACGGCCCTATTAGGGTCCTTTTTGACGTAATCGCGTCTATCTGCACGCCGCAAACTCGACAGCTATTAGAGCGCCTACAGCGTGACGAGGCAGAGGCGATAGGCGTTACAGCTAATATCTAGCAACTTGTTAAGCCTGTTAAGACGCGCTAGAATAGCTATTTCGACACTTTTGTGCGCGCAGCTGAGCTACATAGTCCTATCGACAGCTATATTAAGTTCAAACTCAAGGAGCACAGTGCCGCAACAGCACCATCACGACGCCGGAAGAACCGCGAGCTGCTGCCTGCTGCGCAGCCGCGACTATATGTACGCGAGGGTGGCCTAAGCGGCAAGGACTAGGCGACGATTACGGAGTATATCCAACTCCTCGAGCCATTTGCGGAAGCTACACGGCTGCTTGAAGGCCGCGGCCGACACGGCCGGCACGGCGCTATATAGGAGGTTTTAGTAACGTTTGAATAGCTTCTTAACTAGCTTGAGGCTCTCAAAGACCGCCTTAAGGACATTAATTACGAAGATCCTAACGCGCCCGAAGACCATCTTGTTACGCACGTTAACCTTGCGCATAGTAAGCTTGCCGAGTACTACGAAAAATTCGATAACGCGCCTGTTTACTATGCCGCTACGATCCTCCACCCGCACTACAAAAACCACCTTGCGGCGCTCTAGAAGGTGCCTAACACCTATATCACCGCCCGCGACGGCGTCCACTATCGCGATGGCTGGCTTAATAATAACCATCGGGCGTTCTTGCGAATGTGGCAGGAGCGGAGCAACGCTGCGGTCGACGTAGCCGACGCAGTAACGCCGCCGCAAAAGAAGCCCCGGCTGGGGTTGTCATCGTCGCGATCAGCCTTTCTGCAGTCGTCGATTGAGACCAATCTGCGGCAGGTAGAGGCAGGTCTAAGGGAGGATAAATATGAGATCTAGAGGCGGCAACCGGCGTTAGCTAAAGAGGATCGGCTATCGCTTAACCCGCTGCTCTACTAGGAGTCAGTTACTGGACAATTTCCATTACTCTCTAAGTTTGCTATTAACATACTCACAATACCGGCGGCAGCAGCAGACTGCGAGCGGACATTCAGCGAGCTTGGCGACATGTTAGGCACGCGGAGACTCCATATAAAGCCAAAGCTTGTCGCAGCTTTACAGAGTTTAAAGAGCTAGAAGAGGCTTGGTATACAGCCAGCAACCATGTCTACTTATGGGCCAGCAGGTGTACTATCAGAGGAAGAAATTTCAAAAATACAAGAGCAGCTATCCCAGTTTGATATTAGTTAATTTAGATTAGATCAGTCCAGGTCAGTTTAGATCAGTCCAGGTCAGTTTAGATCAGTCCAGGTCAGTTCAGTCAGTCCACAGCAGCAGCAACGTCAGTTCAGTTCAGTCAGTCCACAGCAGCGGCAACGTCAGTTCAGTCCAGTCCAGTTCAGTGACCTTCAAACATCAGTTCAGTCAGTCCGGAGGTCTCCGGACTGACTGAACTGACTGATAGCAAGTCTGGGCTGTCCAGCCTTGGTTGAGCGTTGGGGATCGCGCGCCATATATTGCGAGGACGGTGCAGCTAACGCCACACTAAATAGCACGAAGGATACGAGTATAAACTTCATCTTGGTTGTTGGTTGCGAGGAAGTCGAAGTAAGGTGTAATTGAGTTTGACACTTATTGTCTCGTGGCATTCATTCCTTATAAACTTCAATGTCACTGCGATGAGTAATCAACAGCTATCTATACTATCCGAAGTAATACCGATGTTAAGTATTTTGAGAATTTTCAGCGGGAAAAGGACCGTCTTCTTGTAGCCCATGATCGCTCTATCTGACTCGTAAAGGCCCGACATAATATATGCGCTATGCCTAGATAGAGATTATGGAAGTTACTGCAGAATGTCTCCGACCTTGTGCTTTCCATGTGAAGGCTAGTTTGTTCATGCTGGCGCTCTTTGCGAGATGTACGCTGCAGCCTGCACGATAGCGAGCGGCATGTACTCAAGCGCCACTGCGAGTTCGGCTACATCACCGCTGTCTCCCTACACTCCTAGCTTCTTCTTGAACAGCGTGAGCGCCTGCGCCTCGTCTATTAGGTCTTGACCCGGTCGGCCATGTCGCGGTAGCTAGAGTCCGCAACAAGCAAGCGATAGGCAGATTGGTTACCAGATTAGGACTGTCACGGACCAGATAGTGATCTTTCAAGGCCTAATCCAGTAATCAATCTGCCTATCGCTTGCTTGTTGCGGACTCTAGCGGTAGTTCTGCTCGAACCGGGCCGCGTTGCTAGCGTGTACCCAGAACACCTACGTCTCCGGCGACTGCTCGCGCGTGCGGTAGGCATGCTCGATGGCAAGCTGCGACTTGCTACTCTGCAGTTAGCGTGTGCTGTCGTCGATAGGGTTGTGAACTACTAACCTGACGCCGCCTAGACCGACAAGCGCGCTACACGCGAGCCTATCGCAGCGCATCTTTGGCGGACCTAGTTAAGTGTCGTCCCCCGCTCGACGAAGTCGGCGTCGCGGGCAAAGGGTATGAGGGTCGATAGCGGTGGTGGAGTCTCGCGTCGCTCTTGAGGCGGGGCTTATTAGCACTTGCTCGGGCCCTACACTTCTAGGGCAGTCCCGCAACTCACCGGGGGGCAGGTAGAACGCAGCGCTCACCGGGCCGTTAATAGTGCCGGCCTAGATACCATCGTTCCTATCGCCGAAGGATACCGTTGATGCCATGATACCGCAGACCACCCCGTCCGCCTAAACCCAATACGTTTGTCACACCGAGACTCATCTACATACACGAGGTAATAGGAATAAAAGGAGGACAGATTGTGCAGGTAGTAGTCGCGGAGGTCTGTGTTGCGTCCGCTAGCCACTCGACAGCAGGCTTTCTTCGACCAGCCAGCAGACTTCAACGTGCGGCTAATAGTAGAAGTTGGCACGAGTGTCCCAAACTCGTCCAATAGAAAGACAGCCATTTCGTCAAGGTATTGATCGGGCTTTTCATAAAGGTGCTCGCGGAGAGCTTCGAGTATCGTCGGAGTTACAGATCAAGGGCATCCACCGCCGTTCCATAGCGCTTCGACGGATCCAAAGGCGCACAGGTTAGAGCGAATGTACGTAACGGCGCGAATACTACAGCCAGCTGCGTCAGCCATCTAAGCAGCCGTAAGCTCGTTACTTAGTATCATGTCACGAATCATCCTGCGCTGTGAAACCGCCATCTTTTCCAAACGATAGTTCTAGAGCAATAGGTGGCGGTAATGTCGGAGTAGCGAGGAAGGTAAGGCGACCGAGAAGCCTGCAAGCCAACGGTGCAAACCAGGCTGAAGCACAGCTAAGCGCCCACAGAAGGCAACAATCAAATAAGTGGGGCTTAGAATTCAATATTCGGTTTGTTTGATTTCCGCTTTAGGTTTAACGGCTTCCTATATAGGCTTAACTCTAACCCTGTTGGGTTAGCGCCTAGATTTGAGCTATTATTTGATTTGATTGTTGCCTTCTGTGATGGCCGGCCTGGTGGAGTGTGTGTACCATGAGCCTCTGGTCTCTGGTCAGGTGCTTTCTGTGCTTTGGGGTACTTGGCTCATCCATATTGCCTGTGAGTAGAGAGAAAAGCCCCAAAAACAGAGTGGTGAGGAGGCAAAAAGTGGCTTGCAGATCACTAAGAAAGAAGAGGCTTGGTATCATCCGAAGTGGCGCCGAACTAGTGCCCCACTGTACAAAACTTATGCCTGATACCACGGTAGTTCCTTCTGGTTCGTGTTAGCATGCACGTCCCTGCATATGGCACGTGAGGTGGGTCAATCCGTCGATCGGAATGATTGTTGCGGAGTCTGCTCAAGCCGAGCTAAGCTCAACCTCGAAAATCAAGCGCTTGGCAAGCTAAGCTTCCTAAAACGTCCTTTCACTATGGGGCGAGCTAAGGTAGAGCAGGCGGCTTGGCTTGGCTTGCTTGTTGACAAGTGTAACTGTGCTTGTCGGCGAGATGATTTGCGACAGCATTCGGAGAATCGCGAAGAGAAAATTTGCAAGAACAGCAGATGATAGCTGGCTCCGGCCAGAGTTGTCAACAATCAAGCCAATCTGCAATCAAGCCAAATGTGGCCCCTGCTCACTAGCCTTGTCGATCAGCCACGGGCCTATAAGAGAGACGTGCCAACCCTCTATTTAGGTATAGCTGTACCTGTATTTTCTAGGCCGCTAGTAAGCAGGGGCCACATTTGGCTTGATTGCAGATTGGCTTGATTGTTGACAACTCTGGCTCCGGCTCGTTCACGAAAAGGCTATGTCTCGTGAGATGTTCTCTAAGACTTTCGGGGCGATAATTCCTGTCAAGCATCGTTCTAAGGACAGTCTTGCAACAACAACAGGGCCACGAAAAGAAAAGCACAAGAGACAAACTGGCACTACAGACTAAACAACACTAATTACTAAATAGGAGCGGTGGGAAGTATGGACATGCAACAATAGGAAGAACGTAGTGGTCTTTGAGGGGTTGTCTCAAGCGGCGATCGCAATTTTCCGAAAGCGTTTAGTTTTGGAATAGGGGGCTGTTCCGTGTCGGCATACCTGAGTAGGCTTTTCGCCTGGGTTGAAGTCCCAGCTGGAGCAGCTTTGGAGCAGCTGGCTCGCCCGGAGTCAGCCCGGAGCCTATGCGGAGCTCGCCTTAGAGCACACACATATAAAAACCTATCTCCGGACGAAGTCAGATCGATAGTCAATTCATCCTGATTATTCACGGCATTAGTCTCTTGATCAGCCCGTTACACTTATACCCTGCACTTTTCCTCTACAAAACCAATCTATTGCCACTATGCGCTTCTTTACTGTCCTCTCTATCCTATCTATTGGCCTTGTGGCCGCGACGCCTCTCGCTGGCCCAGAGGCCGCCGCTATAGCTCAACCCGACAGCGCTGGGCAGTCTTGTGGATCCTGCTGCCTTGGGGGGGAAGCAATTAAGAATTGTTGTACGGGAACGGGATGCAACTACTGTGCAGGTACAGGAGGTGTATGTTATTATATATACTAGTACGCTATGCGGTCAGACTGCTAATTGTTGAATAGGAAATTTGCTAGAGAGCTACACTTATAAACCTTAAAAGGAAACTTGTCGGATTCTCATGCTCTGATCCAGAATATGGACTCGACGAGATCGTGGGTGGTTTTGGTGGTGCCCGAAGGGCCTTCCGGACCCTAAGGCAGAATATAGGGTAGCTAAGCGTACTCTAGGCAGAGTAAATGCAAAATAGGATATATTCACAATAGAGCCGTTGTGCTGTGTACAGAATGGATTGATTGTTATGATTGATGTGCTACGGTGTCAATTTTGAGGTGGGAGGATTGACCCTTGCGCTCCGGGCCGATTCGCCTCTTGGCTTCAAGTTCAAATCAACTCAACCTTATCTCAACCGGATTTATTATTATTATTATTGTTGGAAGGTCTATAGCACTAGTGCTGAAAGGAAATAACGATAACTAGGAATGCATTCTGTTCGGTGATGGTGATTGATTGTCTACGAACATAGCTGCTACGAAGGTATACCTAAGCTCTGCGCAAGGTGGGCCGAAGTCGGGCCGAAGTGTCCAGCAGCCGACGTCTCTACCGATACTCACGATCCGACACTGGAAGTCTTTTCTTTCTGGGTAGCTAGTAACTCTGCTTGTATCGGTAGTGACAGTATGTGTTGATGGTAACTGTGTGTAGCATCAACCATCAAAGCTTGTCGGCCTCTGCACCCATCCCTCTACTCGGACTGTCAGCTTATTGCCGTCAATAAAGCGTTCAAGAGCGCGGTTTGGCGATGCCTTGGTGAAGGCGTCTGCAGGATTGTCTTCACCATTGATCCAGCGGATCTCCGTGATCTCGCGACGCTCATATGATTGGCGCAGCGCCATGATGTCAATCATGAGACGCTTTTCCTTCGTCGTCCCAAGCTTTACTAGGCACTCGTACAAGGAGTACGAGTCTGTACAGATAACCAAGGGAATTGCAGGTAGTCTAAGTCGTTCTGTAACTATCCTCAGCGTGGTTGCAACTGCAATGCCTATGTCAAAGCCGTTGACCATGCCGTAGATCTCTGAGGCCAGTACGCTCCGTGTGATGCGCTTGCATTTTGTAGAGCTGTAGTGGATCACGTTGCCCTGTATTGTGAAGGTGTTGACGTCAATAGACTCGTTGACGAGCATAAGGACAAAGCCTAGCTGTGAGCTGAGGTCCTTGTTGTTGGCAAAGGAGCCATCCACAAAGACCATCAACTTGGCCTCCATAAGATTGACAGTGACGTAGTGCAGGCCACGATCGAGATTCTCCATCTGCCATTTCAGGCGTTTGTTGAGTGCCTTGATGTCCTCGTCTGATGGTTGCTGAGCTTGAGCAGCGACGGACAGGTCAAATGACGCCTC